ACTTGATTTCCATTTTAGTTTTATTATTTCAGTCATTTTGCCACATTTAACTTTTCCTACTATCTATATGAATGAAATGCTGCCATCTGGATTTATGTATTTTTGTTTCTTCACACATACAATAACGCAGGAATAAATTTAAATGTTTTTTTTATTAGGTTTGTATATGTTGATAATGAAGGTGGTAATTTTTCTCTGTCTTTATTTATCAATACATTGCTGCCCACCATCTAAAATCGCTCACCTTTTGTTGTATTTTTCTGTCTCCGTATCTTTACTCTTCCACTTCCTTACTTTAACTCCCCCCTTCATGCTCTCCCTCTGATCATTTTTCACATTTCAGATTGTGGCCGTGTTGACGGGTGCTGAAAACATCGACTTGCTTTGATGTTTGATGTTTGCTGCTTGTGTAAGTTTGTCTCGCTGAGCCTAGGGTTTGAAGGTAATAAGAGGTATGAGATATGAGTGTGAGTGGGGAGCTAGGCAGCGGGTACAGAAAAAAAGCAGAAAAAAAACGTTTTCCTTCGGCGATTTGCAGGTTTGCAAAACTTGGACAATGAAAAAAGAATTGCTGCAATGGCATTTTTAAAAAATTATTATCCTATATGTATTATTATTATTATTATGAAAAATGCTAGCCAGAGCTCAACTAATACTTCCAAAGTGTAGTCTACTGGCCAAAACTTCCATCTAAATAAAACAATAAGCCAAGCAAATAAACATTAAATAGCATAATAGTAAATAAATGAATGAGTTTTATGCTTCTAAAGAGTCATCAAAAATAAAAGGTGCAAAGTACAGAAAAAAATCAAAGACTGGAATCTGAGTATGTTTTTGATATTTGTAGGATCTATTTTGTTTTGTAGTGATATACATAAACATGTCATATACATTGTACCATTTACTTCATGAACTCTCAGGATTAGATCATTGGGTCTTTGTATATGTTATCAGGGATGGAAAAACAGTCATGCCATCTAATCTCGTCACATCTCTAAGTTGTCAGAGGTGTGGATTATATCATCACCAAGTCAGTACAGATGATGAAAGAAGACGTTAAAGCGCTGATTCAAATCCAATCGTGCCTTACCACGAGATCTATGAGCTGTCAGGGTTATGGACTATATGACAAAGATGTCTAAATGGCGGTGGAGACAGAGAAATGGAGAGAGCGATGGTGCCAATCCAATCTTGTCATATCTACAAACTGTCAAGTGTGGGTTATGCTCTATGACAACCATATCAGTCACATCAATATTATGGAGGTGAGGCGAGAAAGAGGATTATATGACTTATATGTATGACTTTGTTGATAATGGAGGAGAAGAGACAAAAGCAAGGGTTTGCTGTTTGCTTCTGCATTCATGCAGGCTACATGCTGTCCCCAAACTGGCAGAAAACATCTAACACATTAGACACTCACCTTTGTGAATGTACAGTAGATACACATTTGTAGGTTTACAATATTTTAAACATTTAAGCTTATTTTTGAGGTTTAAATGGTCAAATGCGGTTCGAGGTTAATTCAAATATTCTTAAAAACATTTGATAGTTTTAAGAACGTCTTTTTTCATATCTTAGCTCAGTGAAACCAACCATTTTTTTCAACATTTCAGACTAAATTATTGACACTACTGACTCATTGCAAAGAGACCCGGCACACAGAATGCACTTGCCTTGACACAGCCCTGTAGTTGGTGGAGTTTTTAGCTTTTTTATGGGCTAAATAAAACACAGCGGTAATATCCTTATGACTTTTTTTTCACTTTTATTGTCCATTTTCCTTTCATGTTTTTTTTCACAGTCAGATCTATTGCCACTGCTCAATGGAGATTACAAAAATACTTCAGAACATCTAAGTGTGTTGCTGTAATAGTTTTATGTTGCATCAGGGCCTGCAACTAACATCCCAGCTATAGCCTGCTTTGATCTAATAACCTACTGATGAAATTCATGTGAAGATGTTTTAGTAGCATCTCCTTCACACGCTTTTAGATCTGATATTACTCTTACAGATGTAGTTCAATATGATGTCAAGTTTGATGATATTTTTTTAGGACAATCCTAAAAGATGATACAGATATTTCAACATAAAGTAATCGTCCATCCATGTTTAACTGAAGTATAACCACAGGTGATTAACAAATGTAAAGAAAAAAAGATCTTCACAGACCTACACTTGACAAATGCTTGGAAACAGTGATATTTTTAAAGTGTGAACATTAATGTGCAATGGTTTTGAGCGACCCCTCATTTTTTTACATTTTGTTTCCATTTTGCTATTTTTTAAATTGGTCTTGAGCAATAGGTTTTCAGACTTCCTGAGGGCTTTTTTCTTTGGACATTGACTGCTTGTTCACATATTTTTAGTTGAGTCATCATACCTGACCCTTATCAGAGGAATGTTTTGTTGGTAGTTTGTTTGTTAAACCAATTGTTTAAGCATAAAAAAAGCACCTAAATCAAGTGATAAGCCAGCATTACGTCTAAAAATAACAAAAATCTGAGCACCTATTTTAAATGGTATCTTTTGAGACTTTGTTTGTGGCAGCTTGGTGCACAAACACATAATCTGTCCCCATCTCTTTAGTTGAATCTATGAAAAATACCAATGTTAACACATCTTCACAGATATAAAATACCCTAAGAGCTATTTGCTAAGAAACTTCTTGTATTGTGGAATGGTTTGAAGTGTGTCCATAGAAAATTTAGGAAACCTAAATAGAAAGACAATAAAAGGACAAAAATGTAAGGCCTAAAAAACTATCTACAGCAGATGAGCAGCTGACGAAAACCACATCTTTAGACCTGACACATGATGTATTTATACACCTCATCTATTTTATATTTACCCAATGTTTAAGAAGTCTCATTTACCACTAATAAAAGTAGTTTAACAGGGATAGCTTTGCCCTGAAAGAGCAAGATACTGATATTGTATTATAGTCATCTGGGCAGAAGCATTAAAAGACTTAACAAAATGAGAAAAAAAATGAGACACAGACAAAGAGCTTGACAGACAATTTGTTCTTGTCCTGGCTTATCAGATCTGTAGCTATCAGGGCAAAGTGTGCAGCTGATAAGTCTATGATGAGGATGGCTTATAGGCCATGATGGATATCACCAGTGACAACCACCACCCACAAGGATAGATGAGACAGATAACTGACATAAGACATACATACTAAGAGCCAGATGTCTGGCATAGCCTTCATGCCCATTCACTCGTATCAGATCTTCAGTACAAGATCTTACTGTGGTGAGCAGAGGCAGTGGCTGACAGACCTATTATTGCACCAAACTGACATGTCAGAGGCAGAGAATTATTGGAGGGAGACATGATGATGATATATTGGGGCAATAATTGACATGACTATAAGATAATAAATGATGGTGAGAGAAATAAGACCATTGGTTACAATATGATAATTATATAGTAATTAATTACAGAGGGGAAATGGCAAGGAGCAAAACAGAGGGATGTACTTTCCTGTAATAATATTAATCACTGTTACAGTAAGTCATTATTTTTTATTGGCTAGCAGGGACACAAAAACATATTCTGCTTTGTCAAACCTGGTTTCCATTTCAAATCCTCACTATCTGACAGCATTATTTCTCCACAGTAATATTAGAATCTACATCAAAGTGACATGGAATAAAGTGAATATAAGTAAAATTCTGTCACTGTTGTATATTTTCTCAATAAAAGACCATGATTCATAAGTTTCCAGCTCTACAACATAGTCCCAGAACAGAAAATGTGTTTCAGTCTGATTTGGATATTAACATATTAAGGATTAAGGATTAAGGTTTGAAAGAGAAAAATAATGCCCTTACTGGCATTTAAAATAATTTGAATAGCTTTGAATTTTAATGCTGCATTGCTAATAGATTTTTTGATAAACAGTCTTGTCAGTCGAAGAAGTAAATTTGGCAACAAGAAGAAGGTGACTCAAGTTATAGACAGAGAAATGTAAGAGAGAGTGTGTGAAAAAGAGCATGTGGGAAAGCAGGCGTGTTAGAAAGTGAGACAGTGGGCGAGATAAAGAGAGCATAAGGGCAGAACTGTGTGAGAGAACGAGATGGATAGACATGCAGTCTGATTGCCATTTGGCGTTTGATAAGTAGAAAGTGACCCAGCTGAGGTCATGTCACGATATGTCTACTGACTGTGCCAACTCAGAAGGACAGAAGGAGAGATGAAGATATAGAGAGAAAAAAATTACCACAAATTCATATTCAAATAGGAGACTAATAAAGTGTTTATCCTACAACTTTAAAAGTAATGTCTGTACAATTAAACGCTGTAGTTCTTGGTAAGCCAAGACCTCCAAATCCCTGTAAAAACAATTATTTAATCAGGTAATAAACCACTACAACATCTACAGAATTCTGGAAGTATCTACCATTGATCTTTTTGTTTGTTGTTTTTGGGTTTTTTTTTTAACTATATACAACAGTGACTTAATGTTAGAGATATGTGAAATTGATTTATTCTTAAAATGAAAAACTGTCCTTTAAAATGACTGATAGTGGGCTCCTTACAAAAATAAGTATTGCTACATTTGTGTAATTCTGAAACGTCACAGGAACACTAACTTTTTTTGTTTCTTTACCAAAATAAGACACAAATAAAAGAGAGACATTTCCTGTTCTAATGAATGCAGAAATATGAAAATAAATTATAATCCAGAAAAAGTATATTTTTTCTGCTACATACATGATGCTTTCGGTCCTGTTATAAAAATGTAGCAAATGGTAATCATTCCTTATCTATTATAAAATCACGTAATATTGTACATGATTTTTATGTTTGATTTTATCAACCGAATGTTAACTACAACTGACCAAGACTAGAAAGGATTTGATTTAATTTAATTTGGTTGTGATACAAAAATCAAAACCATAACCATGACAATAATTATAATGGGTCTCATTATAGAGACACCATACAAAAACTTGAACTACAATACAGAGAGACATATGTAGAATCTTACCAGTAGGTAGTGCAGGATCCATGGTGGGCTTTTCCCAGGAGTTGACTTGTTCCCAGGTAAAACCATTGGTTCCCAGAGAAACACTGTATCCACAGCTGCTATATGACTCCTCAAATGTACAGCCACCTACAAAGAAATAGAAAAAGATGCATGCATTTATACATGACGTTAATATTGGAATTGGGAATTTATACTGTATTTTACAAACCAATTCACTGAAGCAGTGGTTGAACCTCAGAATTGCAAATGATAGTCAAAGATGGAAATGTAATGTTTAAGAAAAAAAATGACCAAAATTAAACAAAAAAAACTTTAATTGTTATAATTGTTACAGTTTTAGCCTTGAGTTGGTAACAGCTGATAGTTGTAGCAAGTCAATTTGCCCAAAATTAAAAGTCTTTCAACTGTAGGAAGCAGCAAGCCTTAAGCAATTACTGTCATAAATGCAAAAAAGTAAGATCCAGCACTGCATCCGTTTACTAAAAAAGGCATGAGATGAATCATTATTTTTGCATTACTTTAACAAAGAAGGCTTTAAAATGAATGCAATTTGAATCCCATATTGTGGGAACTCGTACTGAGATAGTTGAAGAGTAGAAAGAGGTTATAAAACAATCATGTAATAGCTAATGGTGACCATAAACAGAATTAACAGTAGGGTCTGATCTAATGAAATTCTTAATAATTGAAACTTCTCCCTATTTATGTGACGACAAATACGGTCTTTATAAGCTCCCTTGGTACTGTTAACAATATAATACCAATTAAGTTAACAGCGTGAATTGAAAGTGCCAGTGCAGACAGACACTGTCACAGTTTATCAGGGAAGTGAAGAGAACAGGGGGAGTGAGAAAGAAAGAAAACAGACTTTATGAGAGAGGATGCCTTTGCAAGAGAGAGTGAGAGAGTGAGTGAGGGGCACATGAAGAGAAAGCTCTGTGTGTCAACATGATTAAGTCACAGTGTCTCATCATTATTTCATGGCCCAGCTAAGACACATTTTCCACTGCATTAGCCTTCTCTTTTAGCCTCAAGCACTGCATACACACACATCTGCAACAGAGTCCCTTAATTAGACATATGCTTTGACACACAACCGTTTTAATTTGTTTTGAAGTATTTGAAATTGGAGAACGTCATTGCTTTATTCACGAAATCATTTAATGCTTACTTTTTTTGTCTGCCTCTTTGTCCCAGTCATCCACCGAGGAAATAAATGCCAGTTTAAACTTCATCAAACATGTTTTTAGATTCCAACAAGGCCAAATCAAGATGGCTTATGATGCTTTGTAGAATATTGGCAGCATTTAACTGCAAAATCCTTCTGTAGTGTTGTAGCATAGCTGTTGTGATGAGAGCTTAAACTGTACATCGCCCACTGGCTTGTGAAGTCTTATCTTGAAGCTAGCTTTGAAGTGAGCATTTTGGTCCAGACATGACAAATAAGGGGACATCTGACTAGGAAACTGCATGTTTATGTTGTAGGTAGACCTGGCCTAAAGCTTGCACTGTTTTAAATAAAAAAAATGACCTTAAACTACAACATAAACTCATCTGCACAGTGTTTACTGAGGCTACAGATCAAGTGAGCTAGGCTGTTCTCCTTTAGATGTCTATGCATTCTTACCTTTTTATTGTAACCTAATGATTTGGTTACAAATCATCACGGAATTGCCGCAAATCATCACCTGTTATAAATTGCAAATAATTCAGGTTTAAAGGGCTTTGCATTGGCTTCATTTTTCAGACCTGGATGCTACATAACCGAATTTCCCAGAGGAACCCACCCGAGGGATTAATAAAGTTTTATCTTATCTTATCTTACATCCATCTTTTACATACAGTTGGTGGATAATGCTGACGTGTCAAGCAAGTGCCCATTTTCTTAAAAAGACTAAGAAACAATGGCTGAGTCACACCTTGTGACTGTGGCTCTGCCTTTTCTCGTCACTACAGACTTGGTGTTGAGAATTAAGGCTAGTTCCAAGCTATGAGGCAGGTGAGACTTCCAAAATCCTATTATTGAGGATATAGGATACAGAGAGCTGGAGCATTGTTTACTCATAAAACATGCACAGGTTTAAAATGCACAGCAGATTGCATATCCATATATCCATATATTGATATCTTTAATACACACCCTCTGAATAGGGTCTAAAATATATGATATGGTTTTGATTATGCTTCTTCAAGCAAGCCTTACATCAACTGGGAAATGAATTTGAAAAACATGGGGGAAAAATTCATCCATCTGCATTCCGTTTGAAAAAAATAACCTCCAGCAAAGGGTGAAAACTAGGAAAACACTATTTTTCTCACAGATATGAAAATAACTGTTATAAATTAATCAATACAGAGATAATTAGCCTTTATCGCCCCCTCGTTGTTCAGTGATCTCATTAGAAATGAAAAGAAATCAAAGTGAACTCATTAGAACAGAGGGATAAACAGGCAAAGGGGGGCTGTGGGGTATCTATCAATATTCAATATCAGAACTGCAATTTTAAGGACCACAATCAGGGCACGAGAGAGAGAGAGAGAATTGGCTCACAGCAGTAGCCAAACATTCAGTATGTGTGTGTCAATGCCCCTGATCTAGTTTTGAAATTCAGCACGACTCCTCCCCTCTCTGCACGCAAACATAATCACATGTTCTCAGTCATAAAATGCATTTCCATAATGAAAACATAACACTGCTACTCGAGTGTGATCTGAAGCATAGGCGTGTGTGTGTTCTTGTGTGAAAGTGGATGCGATGGTGAGAATGTGTTGCGGCGGGATGGTACGTGTATGGGCTCATGTATGTGTCATTGCTTTTATGCATCAGCCATTATTGTTGGGTCTGTGCATATGGTAACGTGTGAATTAGTGTGACACCAAAACAAGCATAATCTGTTTGTGTATGAAGTTTAGCATTAATGTATAGGATATATAAGGATATATAATCAATTAATAATACTGCAGCCTATGCATACATGCACAGATAAAGATACACATGCACAGAGAACAATCACCCCATGTGATGCCTGTTATATGATTATTAATCAAAATTCCCTTAAAATGGGTTTGTGATTCCCTTATTGTTTAAATTTGGCAGCACTGGTTTGCTCTGCTCTTTGGCACTCTGTAGTTTTCTGTTAGTCAGCAAACGTGTTTCCCTAAAATTGTCAACTTCTATGTCATAGCATAATGGAAAACAACTTAGTTTCCATCATCTCGATTAAATAAACCACTTTTCTGAATTACAATAAAATGCAGGAAACAGGAAAAGCATTCATGTTTCACTTACACTCTCATGAATAGTGTAGCCTATACATGAAAGGTGGCTCATATTGAAAACTGAGCTACATGTACCCAACAATCTGCAGCTCTCTAAATGTATCTGTAAAAGCACAAGACTCCTCCTGTGGGTTTCCAGTAAACGCTGGTGTATTGATGCACGCTGCTTTTAAAAGCGCCTGATATAAAGTCATTGTTCTATCAAAGAGGTTTTTCAGTATTATAGCGCTATTACAGTATCATTTATTGTACCCAGACTCTACTCAATATCTTATCTCATGCATTTTTGTTAGTGAGTCATGATAGTTCCCTTTCTCTGTGCTGTGCTGTTTACTTCACTGACATTTTGTTCCTAAAAATAAAACTTAAAAATTAAAAAATGCATTTGGAAAAACAACGAAGTCTTCCAGGTAGCTAGGGTTGTGCCGATGGATGATGATGTCAGGGACTGACGATAGCCAACTTTTAATGTAATTTTCCCATTGATAGATTAAATTAATGTCATTATTATGAAATGGGCATGCAATGGCTGTGTACGGAGCAGTTACAGTGACCCATCATCATCAAATCTGAGAAAACCGGAGATTGTTCCTAACTGCTGGATGGATGTTTTAAGCTAGAGCACAATGTGACAGTAAATTTGCAGAAAAAGTTCAGCTTTGTGTAAGAACAGAATGTAAACAGCGAGGAGAGTGATGTGAAAAATTTTGCACAGATAAAGACAAACAAACTGGACAATAACTAAACAAAGAACCAGCAAACATTACAACTTTTAAAAGTGTTGTCTACCGTCCCTCAAAGGTGAGCACTGTAACGTAAAGTTCATAACTGCAACTTTGCATATCGCTACCTCCTGTGACAGAATTTACCGATGCCAATGACTCTGAGAAAACTATTTTATTGCAAAGTTTTCTGATTTTAAATGCTGATGTGACTGATTGGTCTTTAAGCAGATGGTTTGGTGCCAGAGCATCATTTGTCTTTCAGTCTGCTGTGGTTTAACCACAAAGAATGATCTCAGTCTTACTTTAGCCACTTAATTCCTCCCTTCTAAGTGTTCTCTCATTTTTGGATGGTGTCACATTTATTTGCATGCTATACCTTGCTGGCAGCCAGCGAAAAATATTTAACCAAGATTTAAAAAAAAAAGATTAACTCCAGCTCCTTGCAGTAAAACCTATGATTTTCTGGCAACAGAATTTGGAAACTGTTTTGCAAACTTGTTTTTCAGTTGAGTAATTCCAGTTTTGCATTTAACAACTCCAATATCCCAATGAAAGCTTTAATTTTTTTTTTACAACTCATCAGCGGCAGTTATTGTCAACAAATTAATAGGCAACAGAGAAATTACAAGGACTTATTGTTGTCACTGCAGTTGAGATGTAATTTGTTTGGCTGTCAACAAAACAGTCTCACCAAAGCTTAATAATCAAAATGATAATTACTTTATTACAGTGCTAAAGGTAATTTCAAAAGGTAAAAGCAAATTGTGGAAACTCATAAATTTAGAACCTATTGAGAGATGGAATCCAGGTAACAGAACTACAGCATTACTTCCTCCCCAAAGGTTTCAGTCTATTTCTAATGGGATTGTATTTTTAGGCCACAATTTATCAAAGAGTGAATATGGCCTGATTCATTTAAAATGTATTATCAACACAAGTGCACGATAGCATGTAATTACCCAAATGTAATATGTGCCGTCTAAGTATGCTGTAAAATGATACAATGTCACTTAACAATATTAATGAATATTTATGTTTTATAAGGAAGTAGGTTATTGAGGAAACATGCATGCAGAAGTGATTTCTCTGCTTGAGCTCATTTAGCCTTTTGGTTAGATTACA